GAGGTGGTTGGGGGCGTTGAAAGGCACGTTTGGAGGCCCCTCAACCTATGACACAACATGCTAGAGCAAATCGAGGCACGCGAGAAGTTGGCAAAACAAGCTGTATCCGCTGCAGGACCCCCTCGGCAAAACGGCCTCATAGAAAAAAATCCGAAAGATAGAATCCGCTCGAAAGGCACGAAATCATCATTGGGGGCACGCTGGGATATCAAAACATTTTTTTGTAGCCCAACTTTTTAGGAGGTGTACCAAATACCACCATGCTTTTCCGGAAATCCCAGAAAACTGCGCAAAACTGTTCTTTTGTGGAAAGCATGGTGGTATTTGGTACACCACCTAAAAAGTTGGGCTACAAAAAAATGTTTTGATATCCCAGCGTGCCCCCATGATGATTTCGTGCCTTTCGAGCAGATTCTATCTTTCGGATTTTTTTCCATGAGGCCGTTTTGCCGAGTGGGTCGTGCAGCGAAAACTGCTTGTTTTGCCAACTTCTCGTATGCCTCGATTTGCTCTAGCATGTTGTGTCATAGGTTGACGGGCCTCCAAACATGCCTTTCAACGCCCCCAACCACCTCGAAAAAACGGATTGCAAATCCATGAACTCTACATCAAGTTTTAGGGTTTTGAACATGCTCCCACTGTGGAATACCGTCTTACCACCTGAAAGACTTGGAAATTGAATGCTACTGCAATTTAATTATCATAAATGTTTCAATTTTCTGCTTGGAATGCTGTTAAATGTGGCTGTTCCGGTTCCGCTCCGAAGTCCAATGTCCGCGATGAACAATATTAAGTTCCCGGAGGAGTCGAGATGGATCCTCGAGGGATCTCTTGGCAGCCTTAAGTTTCTGCTCAGTTTCTGCATACCGGTATGATGCATATGATGACGCTAAACTCGGCAGGGTATCATAGTATCTCGGCAGTCCACGTGGACATGGCAAGAGCAGGTGGACTTCACTAGACAGTTCCGAAGATCAATCCATGCGAACACAAGAGGCTTGAAACTCCTGCTATTAATTTACTCGGTGCATGTGAAGATCAATCGTATTCGGAAGCTCGTCTACATAGTCGCTTAGGGCCGACGGTGTTGAATTGATAGGTCTTGGCTCTTGAGCAATGATATTACGTCTCGGCTTGCCGACTCGATCTGTCCGTGGTCAACTAACAGTTGGACAAGAGCAGTTTCATGAATTCTGTAACCGCGCCATAGTCGAATTAAGCGAGGCGGATCTGACTTCATGCATCCAGCAATCGAGAACATGAAGACCATATGTTTCGAGAGGACATAAAAGCCAAGGGCAATTATTTCATGGCACGAACTTATCACACAATCGATCCTTCATTCACATTGGTCACGTGTCACTTGAAATGTATACTGACCGTTAACTTTCTTAGCTCAGACCCCGCCTTATTGGAGCCCAACAGGAATTGCATGCAGCAGAGTCACAAAGCTCTCACATGATCAAGACGAGGCGCGCGCTTTTGTTGTATTGTACATCTTCCGTAGGCCTCATTTAGTAAGGGACCAAGAGTGTCACTCACCCTCCACAGCATTGGTTGCTGTGGTCGTACTAGCTAGATTGTACTGAAGTTAAGCGGTTGGAAGCACATTATCCAACCAGACGAAAGGCACTAACATTTTTATCGTCTTACTGACCGCGGGAGATAAGCAATAAGCAGCCAGCTTCTGATATGTTGCAAGGGAAATGTTCTTCCTACCGTCCATCGGGACCTGAAAAGCTCTTCCGGGCCGATGTCAAGCTCGTCCTACTTGAGAGCGCCCATCCCCGAGATTGACTTTCTTGGCCTCAATCTCTGCAAAAATCAAGCTTTCAGAAACCAATAAGATAGATTTATACACATGATATTACAGTAGTACCTTAGTTCGACGCTGGCATAGGTAGAAGGCCCGATCAGAGCACAAAGCTCTGGAGGCCTGCACTACAGCTACATCCGTTCGCCACCTCAGCCTTTAGTCACGAGGCGGAGTCAGCATTGCAGACACGTTTTGACCTTACAGTAGAAATGTACAGTAGGAACGCCGCTGGATTTCTGCTTTGAGCTCCTAACAATCACTTCGTATATGAGCCGACTCTTACTGCTCGACCCAGGCCGGCACCTAAGCTTCGCAGGCCGGAAGATCCCAGGCTCACATCACTCTCATCGAGCGAAGAAGAAAGCTTGAGAAATTTACACGGGATACGACGAAGAAAATAATACGCCTTCGGGCGTCTCTCCTCACCCCTCGCCACGAGCTGCTTCTCCGGAGTGCTCGTCGAGCAATGCGTCTGATGCATATTGGTCCTGCCTCCATGGAAGTAGTTGATGTAGTAGTTGTTGTTTGCTGGTTTCCCTGTCCTCTTTCAATGCGCACACTTACGGGGCCCGGTGATTGAATCCTCCAATTGTTGAATCCCTGCAGCCAAACCTAAGGACGTCAGTGCAACGCTGGCCCAGTGCAGGATGGCAAATTAGAAGCGTTGTCATGCCTGGCGAAAGCAAGAAGGGACAGCGCTCCTCATCCAGAAAGGATTCTATGAGCAATGTACATATCACGGACCCGATCGCCGGAGCTCTTGACAAACCAAGGCGTTCCCGGGATCTTCAGTTGTAATCAGACACAGGGCGGACGCGGTGCATGATAACCGGTATGCATTGTCGTCTTTCCTTCTTCTCCAGAAAATGGGTGCCCAACCGCTCGCACGAGAGACGTCTGACCGAAATGAGGTACACCAAAAACGAAGTATGACCCGAGCTCTTACCGAGTCATCGCCTCCCCGTTTCGCTCTCGGTTCCACGTCGGAAGCCACGTCATCGCGCCTCCGTTACAAGCCTCGGCTCTTGTTCTTGGCCTGGCCGATGTCCCACGCTCCCTCGGTCACCTGTCCCCGGCCCGATCGACGTCGTAGCTCGGGACGTGAGACACGTGGCGATCCCAGATGTCGTACGCTGAGTGCCCCTTCGACTCATAGTCCCGCCCAGCGCCGAAGGCTGGGCGCAACTCCGCACCTGCCCGATAGCCTCCCGGCTGCCAGCTGTGACTGTGTGGGGTCCTCTCCCTTGGCCGCCACATAGCGTTCTAGAAGTAGCTTGGGAACATGCCCCTAACTCAGCCCGGTTGCTTGATGGAGAAGTGGTCGCATTTGGATGAGATTCGTTTGCAGGATAAGGTTCGGAGGAAGTGTTAGGGGCGGCCGAGCTCCGAACCTAAGCATTGGAAACCAAAACATGCACCCGACTACTGTACCGACCAGCAGTGTATATAGCTGTTAGACCCGGAGCCTACCGTCGGTAGACATTTCACCGTGCGATTCGCGACCGGCCTAGCTCAAATCACTGGCAACAAATTGAATCGACACCGGCCTCTACGAGTTATCGCGCTTTGATGTACGAATTGCGTGCCAACGTCATATTAAGTTTACACATACCGCAGAGGCTGAACCCCGCGACCGTACGGTACCGCTGTTCGGTCTGACACGTTAGACCGTGAAGCATAGTTGGCGGGCTCTGCGCGCGCCGTGTGGCATAAAATAATATTATGCTCGTGTGGCCGTACGATCGGGTGCACACTGTGCACGCGCAGCCACACTGTGCACGTGCGCAGAGTTTTTTGCCCCGCAATTGACACTACTTTCTGCCTGCTGTTCTGGTAAGGCACATTTGCACCGTCGATGAAGCTTTTGACGGCTAAAACTACCTTATCCTGCGCGGCAATCCAATTTGAAATCTGCAGTGGTGGCTTCTACGGCCTCCGAGTTAGGGGCATGGTCGCGCGCTACTTCTAGAACGCTATGCAGTCGTTGGGTGACGTTACCCGCTGCCTCGGGGTAGCGCGTGATGCCTGCCAGGAGCCGTAGTACTCTGTTGCACTCACTCCGTCAATTCGAGAGCGGCCCCAATTCTCCCATGTGCGGGTCCAGGGACGCCCCGTGTGTGCTTCGCACTCCCCGCCCCGTGGAGAGCACCCGGCTCTTTCCTCTTCCGTTCACTCTGCTCCCCAGAATCACGTCCAAGACCGGTGTACTCCCTTCCCCCGTGCCTTGACGCCCAACCCGACCGCCTCCCTCCTTCGTTCAGCTTATCATCACCCGGCCAGGTCGTCTCAATCGGTTTGCTGAGCGTGGGCTTGAGCGGTGGGGCCTGCTCGTTGCATCGCAGTGCTTTTTGGGGTAGGGAGGCGAGGGAGTTCATGGGGAGCTCTCCAAGGATCTATCGGGGGCCGGCGGCGAAGGCGTCGGCCGGGAGTGAGGGGCCAGCTGGCATGCCCAACTGCGGGTCCAGGTCCGTGTCAACTTCTTGGCTGTTGAAACGAGCTACAGGTGTCGGTCGAGTTCAAGCTTAAGTTTGAAAAGCAAGGACGAATCATTGGCTTTCTGGGCATGGGCAGGCAGTTTGACTTCTTCTTAGTAACAAATTTGGCGCTTTCACAGCATGAAACGAGTATGGCCGACGAGATGAAGGAACCTGATCATGTACAACTACGACTTTGCATGCTATGAGCTGTTGGGTCAGATACAAGGGCTGACTTCTATAAACCTCAGAGGTCAGCGAATGCATTTGTGGATGAAGAAAGCATGCAAAACGTGAAGATCTGCAGACTAAGCAACCGAGCCTCACTGACGAATGAAAGCAGAGGCAGAACGTTCTTGAGGAAGGCCTCAGGATCTTTCCAAAATCAAGAAAGATCAAGAAACGTAGCATGCGCTGCAACACAAGGTTTTGAGTTAGAACAGTGTCAATTACCCCGTTTCTGTGCGCGAACACAACAGTGAGACCCACAAGTGAAGATGAAAGACGCCTTTCACGGGTCCAAAGGAGTGGTTCTGACTGCTTGGTTCAAAAGCAGTCAGAGCTTGTGTCCCTTCTGAAAGTCAACAGGTGGCAATCGCCAGGTCGAAATGGGGCTAGACAATGACTCATTCTCGCTGACCTGCTGCTTGACCGGCACGTGAAGACACTCTCTGACTCTCCGACCTCGCCGAGGCTACTGCCGTTTGTCTGCTGTCCAAAACAGGATCCGCCATATCTGACAGTCTCCACAGTGTGCACGCCGACGGATTGTTGTTGTCCATGTTGACATTGCTCCTCTCGGAATTGCCAAGCGATCTGAGATAAGCAAGCACTTAAGGTCAGAGTGTATATTGCGATACCTGTTACACGTGTCCAGTGATTTTGCGGCCCTAGATTGGCGCATCAAGGAATTCAAAAGTTGATGCGGTAGGTTTGCTCTGCTCCAGGCTACTCACATGGGGGATCAGTTATCAATGGTTTGATGCTTCCCTCCCTTGACTAAGGCAGCAATCTTTTACTGGTGCTTCTGTGCACATCACTCCAAGGCAGGGCCTGTTAAACTTCCAAGGTTCTCATGCAGTTTATATCCTGGTCGCATTTTTGCCAGAACTTTTTTATCGGACGGCGCAGAAGCCCCGTTGAAATTTCATCGGACGGTTCGATCGAAGATTTTGTGTGCGCTTTTTGGGTTAAAGTCATGGCTGCCGCTTGGTTGCGACAATGGCGGACTGCTATCTCCTCCTCCTTTCTGCACTATTGGACGCATGCAAGGCCTTGTCTGGATAGTCTTGGGTCAGCTCTATCCGGAGCAGGTGGTGGATCGTAAAGAATGGGGTCTTGCAGAAGCCTTTAGAAAGTACCGCAAAAAGCGGTGCTTTTGGGTTAGTTGACGAAAAGGTTTGGCAGGATCCGGGCCAGGGTATAAATGGCATGAGGTTGGTGCAAGGGGGTGCCACCTTTCAAAAAGTCAATGCGTCCAGTTCATGATAGCTGTCCAATCAGCCTGACGCTGGTTCCAGGTCAATTTTGGAGCCTCTCTTTGCCAAAGGTGGTTTAAAAGAGCAGAAGATACAAGCTATAACGGTCATGTTTTCCTACCTCTCATTTTCAATATAAGCAAAAGCGGTTCCTCCTCTACAACGCACCAATTTCAACAGTGACTCATGTCATGCCACAACGCGTCGCTGCCATAATGCGTCGCTTAGCAAACCAGCATGAGACACGTGGCATGTCGTAACGTACTTAGACAAGTTAGTTAGCTTAAACCGACCGCAGTTAGCGCATCTAACCATAACCTCGCAGGCTCGTCACGGATTGGCCATGGAACAGTCACATCATTACTGGACATCCATTGGTGCAACCCGTTATCCACAATCCAATTATTGCAACCAAGGTTCTGCGATTGAATCCGGGTACGTTTTCGAACGTTCCCTGGGGACGTAACCAGCCACTAACCGGTTATGTCACCATGAGTCACCAGGTTATGATACCGGCCGTCGCGTACCCTATAGCATGTGGCGCAGCCAGCTGCAGCATGCAAGTGGATGTCCAAACTCATTATGCGAATCCACGGGTACTTAAGCCAATGGCTCAGACATTTCCAACTTGACTTTCATTCAAGTTAACTATCCATCGCCACCGGACACCCATGTCCACCCAGCATCCGAGCGCCTTGAGCGTTCAACCCAGCACCCGAGTACCTCGAGTACTCAACAACCAGCGCCAGCAGTACCGGCGACAGAGGAGACAACACCAACGTACCAGCGACAACAACACCACCGGAGTAGGAGAACAACAACAACCGTAGCAGTACCAAACACGACAGTAACTTAATCGGCCCTATAGCCTTCAGCGTTACCTTCTTGCTTCACATCACCATGTCCCATGCCTCCGGCGACACCATCATCCAATCAGTAAGTGTCAACCGCTTGTACTTGTCTTGTGTTCATGCTTGAGTCCCTTTGGAGATCCAGAATCCTGAATGCGAGCCACCGCCACCCTGGATAGCAAACCTCTCGGACGGACAATGTGGATGCTGTGGGGATTACCTTGAATGTTAGCACAAGCCACCTCCAATGCAGCTTGCATGTTCATAACGTGCCATACTTTTCTGAGCGCCAGCCGCAAGAAACCATCGTGTCCTTTCAATCAATCCTTAACCAAGGAAAGGGGCCCGACCCCGATAATGAATGACTATGATCGATTCCATACATGCCGCCTTATTTACTCAGCATATACCGCCAATTGCTCGTATCATGTACTTTTTAACGCTTAGCCGATCCACATGTCTCGCGTCACTTCATGTAACCGACGTCAATCGAACGCCGACGTTATATCGCACGACGTACCCTCACTTGACTCCTCTTTATCACAGTCGGAAGAAGGGCCGTGAGCCTTGGAAATGTTGAATCAGAATGAACAGTTGGCGTTTTTTCAAACCGGTATTTGTGACTACTGTGCCTGCTTTCTGAGGCATATGCTACGCTTCAATGATTGGGCGCCACCATGAAGCTCAGTGGACAAGTAGAAAACCACTCAGTGAGCCTTTATAATCAAGATCGGCGGAAATGGATTGTGCAACACGCGCGGTCAGAATGATCGAGCACGGACACCCGCCCTTGCCGGCCGACGTCCGTCGCACTCAACGTGACGATGCACGAGTCGGTGACTTCGCATTACTCTGTCCCGATTAATGGGCATGCACTGATCGGATGCCATGGCGTCAGGTCTATATATGATTGCATCAATAACTCAAAAATATTGCATCAATGACTCATGGAAATATGAGGTCAGTCAGTGCATACGTCCCACCTGGTTATTAGGTCCATCTATTCAGAGCTGAAAGGCAGAGGCGGCCGACACGGTAAATTGACAAAGAGATCGATGATATTATCGAAAGGGGTCACTGGACTCTTTCAAGAGGTCCGTTGTCGTTCAGGCATGGTCCAAAAATGGATTACGATGTGACACCAGGACTTAGAGGCATAGTTAGGCAGCAGATGTTAGCCGTTATCGGAAGCCGCGAGCTCGCCAGTACTCTTCTAGTCGCAAACTCGACACACGCCTAAGGCGAATACTCTTCACCATCTCGGTCGAGCTCGCTTCCAAGGCTGCGCTGCAACTCCAGTCCCGCATCGGTGGAGGTTGTTCTCCTCGTAGCGAGACCCGTCTGAGCAGGCGCCTTCACCGGCACAGAAGGCGGAGAGGCAGGGATGGGATCCAACAGAGCGGCACGCTGCCGCTCGATCAGCCGCCGAGAGAACGCATGCCCTGCAAAGCGATCCAGTGTAAAGTAAAGCAGCGGCTTGGTAAACGAAAGGGCTTGAATGAAGGCACTGATCGCTGATGTGGGGTCAATGTCTTATAGATTCTGTCAAAAGAGTGGCTCTTGCGGGCGGACACGCATGAGTTCTGGGCTCGAAATGCTAAATCCCCGATACTTGAAACCCAATAGCACCCGTTGCACTGAACTCTACGCACAAAACGAACTTGCCTATGGATACAGCCAACTTATTGAGTACTAACAAGGTCAAAAAGCGAAGCGGCCCTCGAGCCCATTGTCTCCGGAAGTCAAAATGGTCCCTTCTCCACCTCGGAGAAGCTCTTGTGTACGAAGCGGCCAAGCTTGCCTAATTCTCGCCAATACTGGACCCTCCAAGTCACCTTTGTCACATGGGCGCGCATTCACATCCCATCCAGACGCGCTTTCAAACCGTTGCTAGACCAACTTTTCATACGAAGAGTTTCTGGAGCTCTAGACAGAACTAATTTCTGCTTTCCAACTTCAAGACGTAATGCTCAGTTGAGCCCTCGTTCTTTGTCCAACCAGCCGCTTCCCACGTCGAGCGACAGGTAAGGGCACCTTGCGCGTAAATCTCACTCTTTGTTCAGAAATCCAGTTTGGCCAGAACATGGTCCAAAGACTCCACGGCACAAATGCTCGCAAAGAAACCCTGAAATCAGCCCTACATTACCTGCTCACCTGGTTTCCCCCCATCTTGGCCCCCTGGCCGGCTCAGCCCGTTGTACAGTGGCAGGTACGCGCGCCTCGCCCGCGCATCAAACGACCGGACCCGTGCCTTCCACCACCGCACGACGGTGACAGCTGTCAACCCAACGAGCGCCAACACGACGATGACCAGGGGCAGGTGCCTGACAACTAGACCGGAAAGGGTTTGGGGGAGCTGGGGGACGCGCAGCAGTTGGGCCATAGTTTGAGCCCCGGGGTCCTCCTGCGAAGTGGGAACGCGAGCTTTAAACTCGTTTCGGAGGCGCGGATGCTGCGCAGGTTTCGGATTCATTGAGGAACAAGTGGGGTTAGGTATACGTGCATCTTGAGTCGAAGGCCTTGAGAAGCACAATGAGAGCCGAACGGTTGACTTTATTGTTGTACGGTGGCCGCCGCGCCTAGCGGCGTGCTCATGTGTACGAGTGGCCGGCTGGCAAGTCGAAGGCGAGGAGTGAGGCAGAAAGAAGGCCTTCTGAAATTTCACAACGCAATCAAGGCCGCCGACCTGTGCTAAGACTTGACTTGACGCGAAGTGCAAAACCGATGGCAAATCACCGGGACGAACGAGAAGTGTTGGCACGGTTACCAATCTGCAGCTTCCCTTTCTCTAGATAAGTCCTCAGAAAATTGCCGATTTGAAGAGAGAGCGCGAAACTCAGGAGCTGACTGTCGACGGGGCAGAACGACGCTGATTAGATATGCGCCGAATAATGCATAATAGCAATGTAGAGGAACTCTCAAACGCCAATGAAACTAATCTCAGCAAGCCCGTATGAAATGGTGGTCAACAAGCTCAGTCTTCTGCTTAAATACCGGAGCGGCCTCATGTCGTCCGCAGATCTGGACAGTATGCACTGCTTACCACAGCCTACATCTCCCCACAACAGGATCACTCCAACCGAAGCTTCAACACGCCTTACTGCAAAATCGATAGTGCGACGCAACAAAGTTGAGAGCTTTTGAAGCGCACCAGAGTGATGGGCTTGGCCGCGGGCTTGAGCGCCCCTCCCTCGTACAGCGCAGCCCCCAGAGTCCACGCCATGTCGCCGGTTCCGATCTGGATCTGGTCGTCCCGCAAACCCAGGCCTTTCCGAAGCAGCGACACCACGTAAGGCGCTCGGAAACAGTACCTGCGAAAGAAGAACGTTCGGACATTTGTGCGAGCGAGAAGTCTAGAAGCTGAACGCGAGATCAAGGTGAAGACGTTGTAATGGGCCCGAACAATGCACAAGTGCGAAGCGGAAATAGCAACACCTTCGGATGCTGAGTGTGCCCCTAGCCAGAAGATGCGTCGTAGCAGAGCGAATTGTACCGTAGAATAGCGCAAAAAAACAGTGGCATTCGATAATGTGTCGTCGGTTTCAGTGAGGAGCGGGTATGAAAGATGGTGGAGTAGACAGTCTTTTTGTACAGTCATCCACCACCCGTCAGGCAAGGCTGCTTTTCGAAATTTGGGAGAGCCCTCGGGTGATACTTAAAAGCAGTAGCGAGTAAAACGCCCTTGCGTCAAACGCTCTGGCTTCACGTGCTGTAACAAACCTGCCGCACAACTTCAACCACGGACAACTCCAACCATTGAACGACAATCATGTCTACAAATGCAACCAAGCCACCAACGCCTTTGAGTGTGGTCAATCCTCACCTATCCAGCCCCCTCTCGCCATAGTACTCTGCCTTCACGTGCGTCCACGTTTTCTTGCAGAACGCTTGCCCGGCATCGAGCAACCGGTCAAGGGGAACGCTGCAGAGGACGAGTTACGTGGGTTTGCACCCGTGTGTTGGTCCATGGCCTGCGGAAAGACTCATAAAAAGGAAACCCAGACTTGTTCGTTTCGAGTCAGCCAGATTTGTCGATCAAAAGTCGTTTAGCACTGGAACAGGCGTCCAGGACGCAAGTTGATTCTGCACTCAACGTTTGCAAAAGGGCAGGCTTTCAAGGGCGCTTTGGTGACCGAAAAGCATACCTGCCAGCAAGGCCAAAGAAGTGGTACACGACGAAGAAGCCTGTCAGGGCCATAAAGTTTCCCCGCAGAGCCTGCAAAAGAGGGGATTGCATCAACCCATCCGGTTGTCTTGCTTTGCGAGCTCTCCTTGTAGAGATCGTATGCGGTCTCACTATGTGAGATGTCTATAGAAGCCGAGAAGCAAGAGAGGAAGACACCACAAGCTAGAGAGGTTTGGGGTGTAACGGGGTCTCAACTGCTATGGAATCAAGTAGGACCTACCGCCAGAATTTCGCGGTGGCGTCAACTCAAACCATTCTCAGAGGATGCAGATGGCAGCCGCTGAACCATCGTGTAGTCCATTGAGTCGCGTCCGGGCATTCGGAGGAAAGGAATGCCGATAGTGGAAACAGTGCACTTTGCACCTTTTGGGAAAAGACCCACACTCCCTAAGAGGATGCAAAGAAAGGAGCTGTAATCGCTGAATCACACAGCGTGACAACTATACTTTCTGATACATAAAAAGTCTGCAATTTCCTTATGCAGAAAAGCAGACCCCACGGCAGCCTGGGTGTCGGACACACACAACTTTCTGAGACTCCGAGAGTTCGGAACCCCGTACTGTTCTAGTGACCAGACCTCCAAAAACCCGATGATTTTTTAAAGATGAGAAACAGAAAGCCGAAGCCTAAGCCAGACCGTATTCTCACCGGCTGGTGCGCCCCCAAGGCACACGGCTCCTCCTCACACTCCTCCGCTGACGTCACCACCCTGTCCACGAGCGCCTGGCACGCCTGCCAGTCCGGACGTCCAATCAGCTTCACGGACGTCGGACCGGATCGCTCTTCGAGCACTCTACGCCGGGCCAGTGCAGCGCCGCCCCGTGCTGAGCTTAAGTGCTCAATCTCCTTTTCGCTCGTGCTGTCCGTCGATCTAAAAGACGCTGATTGGCTGACAGGTGTGCTAACGGACTTAAAAATTGGTGACTCTCCGTGCAGCAACGTGCCAACCTCGGACACGCTTTCCTGTCTGTGACCCTGGGAAGGGTTGTGTGGGTATGGTACAAGATCTAACTGCGAAGCCTGTAGTGCTGTCGTAAGAGCAGCTGCGTGCGTGACTTGCGCACTGCGCATACTCGGAATCTGGGCTCTGTCTGAAGGCGGCTTGCGCCACTGCCTCGAATCTTGGTGCAGTGTGAACCTTCTTAATCTTCTACCTAAGGCTGTGAACGCTCCGTGAAGACCAGAAGGTGTGGACTGCAACTCGCTGTCTCCTACTAAGGGCCGTCGAAACACGGTGTCAAAGAACGCTTTCAAGAACCCCTGCCCTGCGTTGACACCTTGCGCTCGTGCAGGCTGCGAGGATCCCAACGGAGATTGCTGAAGGGAGTGGAGGCCGCTAGTCGGCACTTTGCTTCGAAAGGGAACATTCTCCGCCGCCCAGCGGAGGAGTCGTCTTCCGTGGCCCTCTTTCAGGGCCTTGTCGGCGACAGCGGACGTCGAGACGGCAGCGTCTGATCTCCGCTTCTTGAAGCGGTACGTCTGCGTTGAAATAGAGTAAATATCAGAACTCGTGCGTCAAAACGCGTGCGTGGAACCTTAACCCTCTTTGAATTGTTGCCACTTCATGATTTAATGAAGCTTTAAAAGTCGAATTGGGGATTTCCATCAGTGCTTCTGGGCTGACGAGAAATTTTGAAGCTGCTGAAAGGAAAAGAAGTGAGAAGCGAGCTCAAATTCAACGGAAACAGTCGTCTGTCAGGCCGAATTTGAAAGTCAGTATTCATCCAATAACGCAACCCGACCCTGAGTCTGGACGACCGTGAAAGTGAGCTCGCAGGTGCCACGTGGAGTACATGCTGGTCCACAAACTGGGACGCGCGATCTGATATTAGAACCATCAAATGTATCCTATTGCGTTTCTCTTACACGACAAAGGATACTCGCGAGTTCCCGCAGCAACAGGCAGCCTGCTGGTGTTCAAATCTTTCCAAACATATGCTCAACAGGATTGACAAGAAGTTCAGAACATTTCATGAAGAGGGAGCTAATGCTAAGTTCGAAGGAAAATGACGCTTAAGTACGAACATCGTCCACAATACAAAGCATCAACGTCCTCACAGCATGAATCATGAACTAGGCGGAAAACTTTCTTGACGAGGTGAAACTAGAGTACGACATTATGCGACTCACGTCGTTGTAGCCTGTGTGAAGGCACGGATGTTCAACCTCCAAGGCGTTCTCCCCAGCCCCGTTGTCCTCCATTGCAAATAGCACGCTCTTCTGGAACGCGTCGTTCATCCCGAACGATGGATGTGAGTGGGCCTGAAAGCAAAAAGCAAACGAGTCTAAATGTTCCCCGTTGTAACGGGAATCTTTCCTTCTAACCAAGGCGAAAACACGAAAACGGTCCATGATGGGTTTACGCTAAAGTGGAACGCTTCAATGCTCCCAAGCAAGACCGACAGAAGGAAGCAGAATGCGCACGCCCAGTCGCCTGTCTGAGCACAATCTGACACCAAGAAGCTGTGACTTTGCAAGGGCCAACATGGATTTTCTTCGCTGACAAACTTACACCTTTTTCATTCTCTTCGAAGCAAGTAAACCAGAACAACACTGCGGAAGGAGAGTGCTTGCAACCTACTTGCACCCTCCAAAACCGTGCCGATGCCAAGATCAGTATCCATTTTGCCGAGGGACATTACTCACATACAGGTGGTAGTCCGTCTCCTTGATAGTGACGTTCACTCCGTGCTCGGAGGACGGCATAGCCTCTGGTAGGAAGGTAACCTCCAGCGACGAACCCCCCATATCGAGCGACCCCAGCGGGGCTGCTTCCTGGCCCTGGCTCAACTTTCCGGTCAAATAGTTGAGTGCAATCCAGCCGTAGACGGCCTCGTCTTGCCCGCTTATGATACGGGCCCACTCGGGTTCGAAGAGGAACGGGGACGCAGAGAGCATCTGCTGCGCCATTTGGAGGAGCCAAGCGGAGTCTGCTTGGGGGAGCCTCCGCAGACCTGCGATCGAGCGAATACTTCTTGAATGTCGAGAACAGGAGTGAACATTTGAGATACCGCTCGACAGGAGCAGCTCTGATCCTTTTGGCGTCGATTTACCTTGTTCAGAGCTTTCGTCTATGATACGGAGTGTCTGTGCACCTGCGGAGCTGTCTTAGGACGTTGTTTGGAAGGACAGCAGGGCGCCATTGACTCTGCTTGCAAACACAGAAGCTGGCATTGCTGATCAGATATGCGACGTCAACTTGCTAAAACATTGATGCAGATGGTCACCAAAGCAACGCAGATTCAAAGCCCTTTGCGACTCGACTCCTCTGTAAGAAGCCTTAGCAGGGGCTTCCAACGGCTGTGACAAGAAAGAGATGTGGGGAAAGTGATTCATCTTAGTAACAAGACCCCATCGTGAAGGTTAAGTTGTACCACACTTCACAAAAAGGTGCCGAGGTGCTTGAGATCCATCGATATTTACGAGATTTTCAGCAGAGCATTCAAGCGTGCACAAATTTGATAAGAGGCGGATACATCTTTCATTCAAACCGTTGTACCTGCATTTTTATGAACTTTCCAAAGAACCAGTCGCAACCTTTGCAATGAAATGGAGTTAAGGAAAGAGATTTCCAGGGTATGACACCGCAACCATCGTCTGTCGTCTGAGAATCACCTGAAAAAGTCAGTGCGGTACGCTTCCGCATGCGACCTGCTTCCCAATCAATTCATACCTGCGGTTGCGAAGAGGAAGACAGGAGTGATGGGCCTCTTGCTTTCCGGCACCTCCTTGAGAGCATACTGGATCAAAGGATCAAGCGCCTGGTTCACTTTCACAACGTCTCCCACAAATTGGTCCAGCCCTGCAGGCACAGCAGAATATGAAACGTCTGCAAGCAGTCAAAAAGAGCAGCGGCCCGGAACCTCTCTAAATTCCGACCTGACTCTGTCTCTTACTCCTCTCCTTTTTTGAGGACCACCCGTGCGCGCAATCGAAACTGCCGGTGAAGATTCTTCGATTTTTCGATACAAACGACATGGATTCTGTTAATTCAGAGGACACACAACATGGCAGCTTTTCAGACTTCTTGTCCCAACAAGAGCGATAGGTACTTTCAGCAAATCACTGAGAACTCTCCTTACAAGGCATACAATTACAACCCGCAATTTGCAGTCCGTACTGCTTCATAAAGCTTACGTCTGCTTATCCTTAATCATAAGCTTCACTGCAGGCTGATCAAGTTTCAATCATGATGGTCCCAGTCGAATATGACGTTGCTAAAATGGTTTCCACAATGTGCGCACTACTAGGTGAGGTTGTTCAGAACACAAGATTACCGTGAATACTCAACTCATCATCTCCTCTAAAAAGTCCTCAATGGGGATACATGATCGGATCTCTTTACACTTACACCTTCTGAAGAGGCATAATTTTTCTCACCAGGCTCAGTTTCAACTCGTTTATAGGCGGTTCGTTTCTGCCCGAAGCGCTCCGCGCGGCCCAGCTTTGCGGTGCTGTCCACCACTTTTGGCAGGCCCCAAGCACCGCTGCGCGCCCAAGAATACACGTAACATCGAGTACCTACACAGAGTTATTCGGTCCTCTGCTGTTTGCAGTTCTGTTTATGCACTTGGCATTTACGGTGTCAAAGAAGCAGTAGGAGTCAACCAGACAGCAAGGAAGGTTGGTAGTCTGACGGTGGTGAAATACAAATTGCAAGAGGCTCGAAGATATAGGCATCTTTCTCTGTAAACGATTGTGCAAGCTTGCTTCATTCTTCGTCAGAACGAAGTCCAGCCCCAGGAAAAAGAACAGACACAAGCACTGAGATACTTCTGATCAAGTTCTGCCAATGCTTTGTCCCGGGTTGAAAATTGACGAAACAATTTAAAAGAAAGCCTTCAAAAGTAATAGCTCTTTGATTTAGAAAATGCCCCAAAGATTGGCACATATTCTACCCTCAGAATGTGGAGAGTTGAGGTGCTGAAAGATGGGGAAAATGCAGTAAGGTCTTCTGTGACGATCTGAGCCAAACAGTGAGATTGCTGCTTAGAATTGCACTCAAGAAGAATCTATCACGCGCACCTGTGCTCCCGCTGTCCATCACGACAGCATACTCCACCTCCCGCCAATTCAGGGACAAGAGCACCCCGCCAGCCACCAGCACACCGATCAACAATCCAAGGAATGCTAGAAAGGACCACCTTGGCGCCCCCAAAGCTCCTGGAGCAGCCTGCGATGACATCATGTTGGCCCTCAAGCTCCTGAGAGAGCTAGAACGAGGTAGAATCGGAATGAAACCCGTGCTGCGAGAGCGGCCAAGAGGGCGAGCTGAGGCACCGCCATATCCCATTGGTGCTAAAGCATGGCAGCCTGATTTGAAAGGGATTTATGGAAACTATCTCTATGGAATTGGCCTTTAATTGGAATCTGCGTGTTCAGATGATGGAATAACATTGCCTGAACGTTGCTCCACCAACTCTGATCTTCCAACTATGACTACAGGACAAACGTTTCAGGCTTTCATCAGCCCAGCGATGCTCTTATCCAGTGGACCGAAGTGCGTTGATCACAGCGTCCTTTCAAAGAACAGCTGAGAACCGCAAACAGAGCTGCTGGTGGCTGCTGGGAAGAATTGCAAACCCTGAAAGAACTCGCTGCTTTCGAGTGGCTCCCTGACCACTGATGGCAGTGATGCAGGAATTTTGTTTCCACTTCGCTATCACACGATTCACAGCCTGCACTTGCCTGCACTGCACGCGCCGATATTTCTCTGGTTCCATATGGCGTTTAACATTTTACTAATACTTGGACGGTCATGGAAGCACCTAAGCGATCATCGACGGTGCACGTCTTCTTCGTTGAAGCGGGTCCCGGTTAACCCATGTGGTTCCTGACTTTCCTCTATGCAGCTTGAAAGTTGGTGCTAAGACCTCCTGACGTCACTTGCCACTTGGCATGAACCAGATCGCATTGCAATTTGCGCCCTCAATGGCGATCTGCCCTCCTGGACCTAGGCGTCAAGATTCACGAAACGAAGCAGAAGAGCAGTCGCAAGGGGTGCTCCAACAGTCAGTGGCTTTGTTCTGATTGCAGTGACCTGCTCTGGTATACAGTTGGCCTTCTCTGCTACGTCATGGCGACCTTCTGAGTTGACTTCAATTAACTTTCTGACGTAAGCGGGCAGCACGGTGAATCTAGGAAGGCAGGCCTGGGGTCACCACTAACGGCATTCACATTATCTCATTATGGTCGGACGTGAGGAAACCATTGAAAGAGATGCGCAGCGGCAAGGGAAAATGAGAAGGATAAAGGAGCACACGGACTGGTTACTTGAATCAGACAATCCATGGTTCAGCCAGCGGGCGCTGCACAATGTCATAAGAAGAGGGGGCTGGGAAGTGGACCCAGCCAATGAAAAGCAGAAAATGCGGAACTATCTTGGAAGTATTGAAAGGAGCGCTGCCGAAACACAGGAGCGACGAGGAAAGGCCCGAAAGCTGATACAGAAAATTGATGTGGACACGGGCAGAAACAAACAGGTAAGCAATTTTGTTGCATTCAATCTAGCCGCTACAGAAGGAATGCCTGAGATCTGGACCTGCAGCGTGGAAACTTATCATTGCTTGGATATCTTCTTCTGCACTAGCTTCTGATGGCCTGGAAATGGCATTGAACAATACATCTCTCCTCTGCATGGGAGTATTCCAAATACTTCCAATCATAGCCTTACCTGATGCGTTGCTGCTACAGAGTCGGTCTTTGCAAAAGACCATGATGCAGCAGACTGGGAAGGTCCAGGTTGGTGTTGTGGGAGGCGTGCAGAACCGCAGCGATAGGTTTGCGCCATGGGAAAGCTGCGCCCCCGGCCTTGATCACAAGGGGGAGTGGGCCCCTGGGGAGAGGTAAGGGAGAGCATGCTTCAACCATAGTTGTGCTGCTCTCTTTCTGTTACACAAAGGATGGGGTATTTCTCTGGGTGTGTCTTCTCAATGGATGCTATCATATACGCCGCTAGAGATCGCATTGAAGTGTAGCATGTGCTTCAGAAAGCCGGGCACAGTCATAAATGACATCGGTTTGAGGGATCAGTCTAATTATCATTTCTGACACTCAACCACCATGCTTTTCTGTGATAGGAGTCAGCTGACTCGCCTGTATGTCTCTTGTAGACGAGGGAACGCTTCTGCTGATACTCAGATGGGTAGGCGGGGCCAGGGTTCCGACATCAACAGCGCCTTCTCTGCAGTGGGCCTTGACGGTGCTGATAAAACAAGGTGAGGCTGGAGCAACGCTTGTGGCCTTCTTGTGCGCTCAAGTCAAGCCTAGCAAGTGCAGCGATGGAGAATAGTATAACATAATTGTCATGTCTTCTGTTCTTTCAAATCACCCATGGCAAAGCGAGGCGCAAAGATCGGCTCAAAAGCAGTGTCAGGCTGACTGGACAGCTGTCATGTACTTGGACACAGTGGCTACACATCAGAAGGTTGAGCAACACCAACTTTGGAGGTCTGTTTGGCCTTGGCTTGGAGGTGTCCACAGAAGCACCCAGGTAAAAAGCTTGTGCCTGAATTAATGGAGAAGAGCATTGACTTCAAGGAGTACCCGATTCCCAGCAAGTAGCCTGGAGCAGCTCCAACCAGCCGCATCACTTCGTTGGTATACTTGATTTATGGTCGAGGGCTGCAACATCATTGGAAAATTGTGACAGGTGTCCGAAGTCAGATACACTTGCCTGACCATCTTCAGTACTTGCTTATCTCATACAGGTCGCTTGGCAATTTCGGAGGGAGCAACGTCAGCATAGACTACAACGACCCGTCGGCGATGCACACTGGGGAGACTGACAGATACGGCGGAGCCTTTGGACAGCAGACATACGGCAATGATGGCAAGGAGGGTGTCTTCACGTTCCGTGCAAGCAGCAGGTCAGCAAGAAATAGTCATAGCCTTGCCCATTTTGACCTGGCGATCGCCACCTGTTGGGTTTCAAAAGGGACACAAGCTCGGACTGCGTTGTGCTGAGTAGATCCTTCGAATCATTGGAAGACGCCTTCCATATTCACCTGTTGTATTTGCACACAGGAACCGGGTGATTGACCATTCTCTGGCTCAGATTCTCTCATATCAGCACACTCATTTCTTCACCTTTGATCATCATGGAAAGATCTCTACGTCTTGCTTGAGAACGTTCTGTATTGACTGCAGGGGGCGGCTTGGTTGCCTACAGGGCTTCGCACACCTTCACGTTCTGCACTCTTCCTTCGTCCGGAAAATCATTCGCTGAATCTGATGGATTAAAAGTCATCCCTTAAAAGCAGCAAAGCAGGGTACAATAAGCTAAGTCATAAGGGCACAATATCACGTTTCTTCTTTTCTCAGTGTCGGCCTGATGCGGCTCAGTTCGTGGGAGTGTTGAATGTCGTCAAGTTAGATTGCCAGCGAGAGCCCAGGAGTTCTCTAGCTTGCCCTCAGTTCCCTGACCAAGTGGACTGACACCTATCGCTCGCTGCGCACAGAGCTTCGTTCGCCCCCGCATCCTATAGCCAAGAACCCGACACGAACCTGCACCCTCCGTTCGGCATGCCAGCTGGCCCCTCGCACGCAAATAACACATTCCCCGCTGCCCCCCGGCAGATCCTAGGAGAGTTAGCCACGAACTTCCACTCCTCCCAGCCTGCTCCTCCTCGGAAAGCACTGCTACGCAAAGAGAAGCCCCCTACGCTCAAGCCCGGGCTCAGCGGGCCAATTGAGGCGACCTGGCCAGAGAAAGACCAGCTGATAGGAGGAGAATGGGGATCAGAGTGGGCGTCGGGATACGAGGGAACGGAGTTCGCCGGTTTTGGACGCGCTTCAAGAGACGAGAGCGAACGAAAGACGAAAGAGAGCGGGGTGGGAGCTGCGCAGCACACGCGGCAGATGGCAGAGGCCGTACCAGGACTAGCGCCTGGGGAAATTGGGGCCCGGGGCGCTTTTGGGACGCCGAAGTGGGAGCCCAGAGCAGCGAACCACGCCTACGGGCAGGCGTTAGACAGCCCCCCGGGATGGCGGATGACGTCACTCAGTGAATGGCGCCCAAGGGAGAGGACCTCGCACGCCAGCTGGCAGCCGGACGGGTATCAGGCGGGTGCGGAGCTGCGCTTGGCATTCAGTGATGGACGGAGCTTTGTTCTGGTGGGGCACTCAACGGACGACTTTGACCCGGGTCGCCACGTGTATGGCGTTCCGAGCTGCCACGTGTACTGGGCCGAGGACAGAGGGTTTGAGGGAGCGAGGAGCAGCGCCCAGGCGATGCACGAGATCGGCAGAAACATTGGCGGAAGTTTGAAACGCAGGCGTGATGACGTGGATTCTGACGAGGAGCCGAGAGCGAAACGGGGAGGCGATAACTCGGTAAGAGTCAAAAGACCTTGGTTTAGGTCGCGAGCGAATGAACCTCTTTTACGTTGAAGAAAAGAAGGCATTGTGACCTCAGTGCAAACACGTCACCCCCGTGTACGATTCCGAGCGTAGACTTTGAACGCCTTTCTTTGTCGAAGGCTCCGTTGTTGTTTCTGTACTATTTTCTTTGATGTGTCGATGTTGGGCAAAAAACGCTTTTCTTTTTTGGTCTCGGCCAAGATGACAAGTTTGTCTGCAATCCTGCAGTGTGCCGGGGTTGCCCTGACGTTTCTACTTCTGGCTGCAGGGTTTCAACAACTGGAGGATTCAACCCCGGGGTCCCGTGAGTATTCGCATCGTGGGAGGGGAGGGGAACACTGCGAACAACAACTACTACAACAACAGCTTCTATGGAGGCAGGACCGATGTGCATCAGACTCATAGAAGCCAGCATCCCAATGAAGCAGCTCGCGGCGACCGGTGAGGAGAGAAGCTTGAGATATGTATGCTTTCTCTCCTCTTGTTGTGGAAAAACGTTCAAGCTTCGCTCCTCATTCGATGAGAGTGTTTAAAGCCCGGGGGCGTTCCGGCCTGCTTAGCCCAAGTGCAGGCCTGGGGTGAATGGATGCAGCTAGACGTAGATTAGCTTGTATTCTGGAATGACCAGTAGTAGTCAAAGCGATTATTTGAGCCTCTGTCTGCCGCGTACATGTCAGAATTTGCAGCACGTCTGCGATGATGACTCTACCCATCTTTGAAAGGCGCCTTTGGGTGTGTAGATGCAGTGTAGTGCTGGCCTCCCTCGCTTTAGTGCTTTGCTTGGGCCTGTTACCCGTGCCGCCAAAGTGATTTACTTGTGTCACATGCATTCTTTTAGTTCTCTCCGAAAAGGTGTGTTCTGAAGCTGCTAGACAATTGCAGGGAAAGTGCTCAAGAAAGTCAAGGCCGGGGACGGGCGGTCTTCGAGGCTGATATCAGCCCGGAAGAGTTTTTAAGGAACCAATAAATGGTAAGAAGGAAAATGTCCGTTGTAAACGTCAAGAAGCTGGCTTATTGATGCTTTCTCTTGCACTCGAATGAGCTACGTCGTTGGACGGGTTAAGAGCGTGTCTGCCCTACTTATCCTGATTGGCTGATGCAATTCGCTTACCTGCAGGACAACCGAGGGCGACCGCAGGAACTTACCAACGTTGTAACGCGGGACTGGTTTTCTTGGTCCTTTGGATGAAGCCTGCGGATGATGTACAAAGGGAATCAACCGTCACTCTTAATTTGATCATGTTCGAGCTTTGCAATCCTGTTAAATATTTTGTCGGGCTCCAATAAAGCGGCATCAGAGAACAGATATAGTCAAAGGCAAATTGTAAAGGAAACGATGTTACTTGTGACAATGTGTAATGGAAAGATCGAGTTACATGTTTTGTGCCCCAGATTTGCCGTTTGACTCAATTTGATCATGTCCTTCTAGAGACGATGTCCTCGGTCCGGATCCTTGATTGCTGGGTGCACTCGGGGTGGTCAGCCACGTCTATCGATCATCGTCAGGGACACGTCTAATCAATGGCAGGGACAAAGAATGCATACGGTCTCTGTACGTTGATGCGTACCGACCAATACTAAGATTCCTCAATCCGTTCAAAGTTGGCGACACGAGTTTGCACCTGTCACGCTGTATGGGCTCGTTGCTGTGACGGCTCGGCTACACGTGCCAGTAATGCCTCATGCTAGTTACTAGAGCTTTCCGCCATTAGCTATATAGGGTTTTCACCCATCGCGACCATAGGGTTTTCTGTAAGTTGCATTGGCCCTGGGCCATCAATCTGCATGATCGCATGAGAGTGGCGCTGAGCCACCCGGTTATCCGTCGCTCGTGACCGTGGTTGAGCCACGTCCACCCGGCGTGCACTTTAGTGCCCGGCTGT